TAACATCTTGAATGGCAGCTTTTAGGCATTTTCTTGATATCAAAGTTCTCATAGTTAATTTTCAAAGCCTAAGTCAGTCTCACAGACTCAGTACAGGTTAACTGTGATTGATAGCTAAATGCTCTGAGTTTCCCTCATGGATCTTAGATGTTGCAGCTGCTTTAAAGCTGAACTTTCCAGTTTCCCAAGGTGCTAATTCTGCTGAAATGGAAGGTGGAGAGAAGCCAGATCCCAGCTTGCAGTGCCATTCCATCACCCGCACAGCACAGTGGTCACAAAGGGCAAGTATAGCATCTATACTACTGCATATCACAGGATGCTACCTAGCCCTGCCTAACTGGGCAGCTTTTCCTACAGTCTCCCTGGGTTCTCGAATGCAGGGGAATGGTTTGAAAAACTGCTTCATGTTCTCCCAGATGTCCATAACACTGTCTGACAAATACGTTCTGCCACGCTCAGGGTCCTCGGCAGCCACCCTATGGACTGGGTAACCGCCTCAGGTAATGCAAAAGAACACTAAATTCTGCAATATATTAAAGCTGGATATGAAAGCAATTTTTACAGTTGCTTTCAACGTGCCCTGGAGTGCTGTATCTGCTAGACTTCTGTTTGTAATATTCTCTTCAGTGGCCATTTTACCCAAAAATGTCTCTCTCTGCAACAACTGGAGGGGGGAGTTTGCTTACCTTATAACTGCTAAGAAATGCCAGGTTTATGCTTGATAAGATTGTTTACAGTTGTGCTGTTCACACATCAGCTGCAGCAACAGGCAGAACCAGAATAAGAGCTCTTACTTCATCCTCTGATTGGCAAGCTTCTACCTAGGTAAGCCATACCTCTTGAAATATTCTGGATATTCATGCTTTTCTTGTCTATTTTTGGTGCTTACATACTAAACAGAGTTGTCAAATGTTTGTTGTAACTTCTTGGGAAGAGAATACATAATAGAGTTGCAAAAAGTTACCTGCTAGGTAACTCCATGATAATGTTTGTCTTGGACTGCTTTCTTGATATATCCCTGCCCCCAACCTTCTATTTTCAGTATTTTTTTCATTAGAGCTGTGGAAGGGTAGATGCTACATCTCCTACTTTTACCAGTAGGGGTAAAAGGGTAAGAGCGGAAAAGATATGTAACCAAAATTATAAAGTTCGTTCTGTAAGGGCCCAAGATATAAATACATTCACCAGGGATTTGCATTTAAGTCTTAACTCTGCTTTGTTTCTCTGTGTGTCGCTTCTTCCATCTGCTCCTTTATGTCTTTTGGCTATGTGTCCAGACCTACCCGGACCTACGAGTAAGCATGATCTACCCTATTTTCTTTGGTCTTTCCTCTCTTGATCATTTCCCGTGGTTGTATATCTAAAAGTGTTTATTCTTTTCCTTCTATCTTTAGTTTATAAACAAACAGCTAAACAAAGGTAACAGGAAAGTTTTGCAGAATGCTTACAGTCTTTTTCACAGTTAAGACTCTGATGTCATGTTTTAAATAATCATATTTTGGCCCTAATTAAAAAATATCTTGAAAATCTACTCTAAATTCATTCATTCTATACCAGTTTGTACTGTAAAAACGCAATGTAAGCATTCAGTAAGTGCATATACCTCCACAGCAAAATCCTTAGCAGCTTCATTTCCACCATGTACAAAGAACCTCAGTAATTCTAGTTTCTGTTAATTCTGTGGGTTTACAGAACCACGAATTTGTCTCACTTGCAACAAAAATTAAAAAATGCATTTTATGCCACTGAAAAAATCTTACATGGGGAAGAGCAACTTTGTGGATTAGACCGGTGGCTGCTGATAGCAGTACTACCCTTCAAACTGTACCCCAGGTAAATTTATCTAGTTTTTCATTTCCATATTCTTATTTATCGTTATTAGTGAGACATGACACTTCATGACACCTCTTAAGTGAGCCCTGTAAAATTATTGTAAGAGAAGAATACCAAAAGGAAGACTTGACAAAACACAGTCATCCAACCTTGACGGGAAGAACAAACACTTCCTGCTTAAGTTTTTCAGCACAATGCCAGAGGAATTTACTTTTGCGTATTTTGTTCATGTTAATCTTTTCCAAATCATTAAGCTTCTGCCTGTGTAGTTAGAACAATCTCTTGTATTCCAGTGGTCTCATAAAGACTGTGGTTAAAAAAGACAGAAAACTCTGTAATAGCAACCCAACTAGTCCGAAAGGTAGAAGAAACAAGTACTCATTCGTCAGTGCCAAAATTAATCTGAGTTTCCAGCTGTAATCCAAATATCTTCAGAACTATGGAGCCCAGTTCTGTGATATTTATGCGACAGCAACTTTACCTGTAACGTGGTGGTAACTGAATCAGATTGCATTAGCTTTAGAGTGAATGTGGGCTTTAGAAGGCATTCTTGCCCACCCCCAAGAAAGAAGAATTTCAAAATCTTCAAAAGTGATTGTGGGTACAAATCAACAGCATTTAATCCCAAAGTTTAGCTGAAACATTAGACTTTCTTTCTCAATAGTGGTATGAAACATTGACATGCAACTGAAATGCAAAAGTATTTAGGGGTTTTGCTCATTATGAAAATCTCCTATATATTTTACAAAAATATGTTTGTTTACTTTAAGTAGGTTCATACAAATCTATATATGCTGTTCATCAAATTCACTAGTTTTTATTGTTTATTTTAAAGCACTGTGAACAGGAACTATTTTTCCAGCACTCCTGAGGCTTATTCTGGAGTCGGCCTCTGTCTCTTTGTAAATCTGGTCTTCTGTTCTTTCAGATGTGTTGTCAATAGTAGCAATAGGTCCTAAGAAGAGTTCCTTAACCCACCAGAAAGCAAACAGATCTGGCCTCATATAAGAAACAAAGCATTTATCACAAGATAATTTTCAACAATGCTTTAGTACTTAGCCAGACTTTAATTGGTGATTCATTTATAGAAGCTTCTTAACACCAGATTCCTCAGCTATTCATTGTCCTATCTGTTCTAATGTAAGTGCACTAACAGGATGCACCTTAAAAACCAGCCCATCTTGGACACCAAAGCCCTAGTGCAGACACACCCGTGGTGCTCTCTGGATTCATCTGTCCTGACTTGTGACCCACAAGTCTCAATGTCTACGTCCTAGAAAGCAGTGTACCAAATTGAAATGTCTTCCTACTTAGTTTGTAAGAGCCCCTCAGGTATCACTAAGCATATTTCATTATGCCCGGGTCTCTCCTAAAACAATTTTTTTTCTTCCCTCTAATAATTTCAAGTATAGGAATGGCAGAATTCTACCAGTTGTATATTTAACAGATATATACTGTAAACTATCACCAACTTCCACTTTTAGGAAAGTGGAATACGTTCCTAAAAGCTGTAATTTTACCCACAGTGGACTGAGAGAGGCTGTTAGCATTTTTCCCAAAAGATAGGATACAAAAAGGATAGAGTGAGTCCAAATTTGAACTTCTTATATGGATATATAAAGGCAGACAATGATCAGAGCAACCCTAGAGAAGAAGCTAGCTCCTTCTCATCTGTGAGGCTGTGACAGCAATACATTAATAATATTTTTTATGGAATTGGAAGGAGGATGGCACAAGGCAGCATGTTTCCTGATGTCTTCTCCTGTTACTGGACAAACAGCATGAGAAACATGAAGGTGGGCTGAAGACATGGGGAACAGACCGCTTGCTCCAGCATGTAGACAGTGGTTGGGAAGAAAGAGCACCAGTTCAGAAGTCAGCAAAGATGGAAAGCAAGATTAATTACCTACTGGAAGTTTGCTTTCTGGCATCCAACACCCCCTCCCCAC